CTTGGCTTGTAACCTCACCTCCAGGCATTTTTCCTAATTGCTGTTCACCTGGAATGCATCCTCGGCAAAAGGGACTACATTTGCTTTCTGTACTCATCTTCCTCTGCCAAAAAAGGACACAGCTGCAATCAACAACAGAGTGCTTCCAACTTCAGATGTAAGGCAGGCTTCCAGACGAGGGGGGACTGCACAATCCAAGTCCCAAGGGAAAATTTAGAGCTCTTGTTAGGGATAAAGCCCTCATGGTACCCAACCATCAGATTTCCCTGCTCCCAGCCGTTCTCTGGCTGTGTGCCAGGATTACTTCATACCTGGCCTACAGTGACTGAGGATAGCACCCAAGAGTCCACGACTACCAGTAGGATGTTTGGAAAATCCTGACCACTGCTTGCAAGTACCACCCTCCTCGTATAATGAATCTCGTCTATTTGTTCTAGTTAATATTCTCTCTTCTTGTAAAATAAAACTGAAATTTTTATTTTTAGTTATAATTGCCAAAAATGTAGAAGATGGGCATGGGCCAGTAGTGAAGACGAGTGCAGTTTTGTTGTAGACAGCACCATGAGACAGAATCCCATGAGAAAGAAACTAAAGTCACCCACCAAAAATGCAGGTGTATTTTATACAACATCCATCATAAAGAGCTTCCACCAATAAAGATTATTTTTTTTCTCTGACATGACTGAGTTGTAAGCCTCATGCTCATGTTGCTAATATTGCATTTTGGCAAAAGAAACCTTTCTTTATAATAGTTCCAATCACCGGGCCCCTGAATAGAGATAACGCATTATTACACCGTCACATTAAGTATGCAGACCAAGTCAGCGACAGCTTGATGAGGCACCTGATTTTGCATAGAGAGCACCACAGTGAACCCGGTGTTCCTGGTGCAGGCAGAGAGCTCTGTTCTTTTGTTTGACAGTAGGTCGTTCAGAGGTGTGGTACCAAGGGCTCCATTTTGAACGTGTTTAGCAGCTCCTGAGACAGCCTGGAAATTAACTGGTCAATTAGACATACAGCCTGGATGTCTGTCTAATTGACAATGACTGCATTTTGATACTGTATCTGCTTAGGAGATTATCTACAAATTGCTTTATGCACTGGGTAGTTCCAAATTGTTATACGGACATCTGTTTTTGTTGGCCATAAACATGCTATGTACAATGACAATTTTATCATTAACTGAAGCCATGGCTTTACCTACCACATTATCCTGAAAATGTTTAACTTTCTTATAAATATCTGCACAGAGAGTGAAGAGTTTATGAGATGCATCTTCCTATTTGTTCACTCAAAAGAACATAGGCACCCTATAGGTACACGTTTCCCATGTGGCTCATTTAATACTGACCCAGGAGTTAGATCGGGGTCCCCATTCCATGCTTAGATGCTGGCAATGCAAAGGTTATTCCAAAACTTCTCCTCCAGAAGCCAGCATGCATTTGTTTAATTAGGTTTAATTGTCAAATTAGGTCCCAGAGAAAACTATCAGACAGGCTCCTACCGACAGACATTTCATTAAACCTATGAACAGCCCTCAACACTGTCAAGGACACCAAAACTGAAAAAGGGCTGAGAAGCTCACTGGCTAGAGAGACCCAGGGAGATACCATGTCTCAGTGACACATGATATTGCAGTGACACATGCAATCTTGGGACAGAGATAGGAAAAAAATAACTAAATCAATAAATTAAGGAAATACAGTGACTAAAGTTGTAGAGATACTGGGCTATAAAATTTTACAAGTGTATCATACTAATTTAAAATAAGGAAAATTAGGTTTAGGTTATGTACACTACCTTTGCAAACTCACATAAATCTAAAACTATGCAAAAATTTAAATTAATAGATTAAAAACAAAATAACATCTAAAGATATTCTCCAATTTTCTTCAAAGAAGGACATTGGTCTCTGGATAAACTCTCATCTTCTAATTGAATTTTTGTGTTGTGGTTGAGAATGCAGGGTAGTCTGGGATCATTTGGGCAAGTTACTTCCTCTGAAACTCTGCATCTTTATCTGTCAAATGGGGGGCATGACGTCAATTTCACGGTCACCTCCAGAACATCTGAGGGGATGGGGTTTGAAAATGGTATTGTGGTCCCTGGCAAGAGAAAGTGTTCACAGACACAGCAGCCACTATATATAATACTAGAAGCTATTTGAATTTTCCTATTGTGCAGCTCTGGCTTCTGGGGAAGAAGATGTTATACAGCCGTGCTCAGCAGAGCTCTGGGGTCCCAGGAGCTGTGGAAGCATGAGGTTGTAAGACACGCTCTCCATAGCAAGGACAGCAGGAAAAATTTCCATGAAGGTAAAGGAGGCTGCTGAAAGCCAAAGTCCCTGCTAAATCGGAAAGAGCACAATGACTTAAAGCTGCTTATGGATTAGTCACAAATTAACTAGACTAAAACTCTCCGACACATCTCACTGGTGGGTTGGAGGGGGAGCAGAAGGCAGAGAAGCAGGTAAATAAGACTGCCCCCTGTCTGATCCCTGAGACGCCTGCCCTTCCCTACCACGGCCTATGCATCACGGCGTGCCATCTTCATACTTGTTACTATGAAGGGTCATTGATTTTCACATTCAGTTTGATGCTTGCCTTGTGGTTTGTGATTTGAAAATCTATTCTACTCAGAAAGAAGCTCCAAATGGCCAGCAAATATAACAAATCTTGAACTCTAACTACCCGGAAAACAGCCCCTGAAATTGATGAGTTGAAAGTCAAGGGTATTTTGTCTTCTGCTTCCTCAGCGCTGTGAGACACCAGTTCTAATAAAGGAAAAGAGTACATGGCTTCTATTTTTCTAACCAACTGATAATGGTAAGTTCTCCCTGGAAAAAACTTCTGTCTCTTTCTTAAAAGTCTTGGAAGGGACCAATGTATTCTAAGGTGCCTATTACAAAATGATGACTCTTTTGAGTGAAAATTTATCTTTCATGATTGGCTTATTGCATATGCTGTCATTGTGTTATATTAATGTCCCAGCACAAATCAGTTGCTGTAAGTGTTATTTCAATGAGCAGGTCAAAACCAAGGGGTTTTAACAGTACTCCGGTCCTCACTTTTCCAGTGTTAACTGGTAGAGAGGCTCAGTAATTGGCCACCTGAAGACAATGCCATCATAAAACATAGTTGGGACAGGATTTATTAATCTTCAGTTTAGGGTCATCACAGCAAACCCATCACATGAATAGAAACGACCTTTACAATAGGCCACAAAGAAAACCAGTGTGTTTTGTAGCTTAAAAAATGATTTCAAGATCCACAAAAAGGTGAGAATACTGCAAAGCAAAGCTGTTCCTTTTTAGTAAATTAGAGGGTAGATGATTCTCTCAGATTACTGACTTGGTAGTGATAAAATATGGTGTCCATGTCTCAATTAGCATGCTAGGGGGCTTGCAGGTGATGACCCCTTCAGAACGGGTACCCATCAGAACAAAAAAAAAAAATGAAAGAGAAAAAGATTCTCTAATTCCAGCCCATGTTTGATTAGTTTTAGGACATTTTCCATTCAGGAAAATTCCAATATTGTGCAAGAGGACATGTTATTCATTGGGTGTTTTATTAAAGACCATGAAAGGAAAAGAGGAAGTGGTTTGCACAAGGGAGATTTTCAAGCATGTTTCAAAAACATGACGATCGCATGAAGTGAAATGTGCCTTGGGGGGTTGCTTCTCACTCCCTGACCTCTCTCTGGATCACCTTCTCCCCTGGCTTTGAGAAAACAATCAGAGAGGAAGGGTTAATAACTACAGGTTTCCTCAACAAGTACCAGCTTCCAACTCTCTGTATCTCAGTCTGTTCGTCCTCCGAATGGTGTCACAGCTAGGACAGCCTGGGGTTACTGGAAGGGTCACATGAGCAAATGCATTGAAGGTCATTTGCCGCTGAGAATTTGCCACGGTTAGATTGCTCTACTGCAGTTCCAGTCTTACGGTGGGGACAGGGAAAGGTGTGATTTAGATAGCAAGATGCTGGGGAGATAGCAAGGTCTCCTCCAAAGTACCCCCCTGCACTGAGTAGCAGCAGGAGATGCTCTAGGCTTGGGCATCCCTGGTCCCCTGAACCCAGAAATCGATTCAGGCGCAGACACCAGCAGTCTTACTCCAGTGAGTGGCCAGCCTGCAGGAACCTCACCTGTCTTGTTCGTTGTTTTGTCTTCTGCCATTTCTTAAATAAATTTGGGACTTAATAAGAAAGATGTACCCTCTTTTCCCCAGAGTTACTAAATGAATGGAACAAAACGCTCAATGTTTACTTACCTTATTTTACTCCAAGGGAAGACAGCCTGCTTGAGAGTGAAACCAACCCAGGGACGAAAGAGAGAAGAGTGATGGGTTACTAAAGGTCTCCTGGCACCTGGATACAGCTACACCTGAAGGGAACTGAATCTTTTATTTTTCAACTACAGGTTAATAATAAAATCAGTATCTGTGTCCTTGTCATGGTTCTTTTTAAATCCGTTTGAGTGGGTTTATTACTTCCAAATCACAAACCTCTGGCCTTTGCTGTCCTTGTACTTGTGTCCTCTGAGGCGCTGTGGGTCAGACTGAGGGGAGCGGCAGTACAGAGGATGTGAGCCCAGGAGTGATGGGGTGGGGTGTAGAGGAGAAGATGAGCCTCCCCAGAGCCCTGCTTTAGATGGAGTCACAAGACCTCATCTGTCCTGGAGAACTCGTAAAGACAGGAGACTCGCTGCTAGAGCTCCGTCCACTCTGGATAACCCAGACCAATCACAGAGGCAAAGGACCCCTGCCCTCTGACCAGAGGCAAAGGACCCCTGCCCTCTGACCAGAGGCAAAGGACCCCTGCCCTCTGACCAGAGGTGAAGGACCCCTGCCCTCTGACCAGAGGTGAAGGACCCCAGCCCTCTGACCAGAGTCACCTGACCACGCAGCCTTCACACTGCGTGAGTTTCATTCCCTCCTGGCTATGCTGACATAGCTGAAGACCTACAGATCTATTTCAAAGTTCCAGCTTTTTGAAAACTTTTATTTTTATTTATTTATTATTTTATTGAGTTTTTCCTTTTGGATGGGCCTCAGCTTCTTCCTCTGTTCTAAAAGAATACTTCTCAGTCCAAATCACTGAGGACAAGTACAGCATCTTGTTTGCATTTTAATTCGTGTTCAGCAGAGGACCAGGAGGTAAGCAAGTGCCTCCTGGAATCAATTCCTGCCCTGGCCAAGCCAGACATAGCTCATCTTCTGGTTGTACCCTTAGGGCCAGATTTGCAAAGGGTGCACCCTAAGCCATTAAGCCAGTAAATGAGCCTATTTTCCAAAGGACCATGTAAGTAGTTGGGATGTAAAGACCTGAACTTCGTAGTTTAGAAGGGGTGCAGGTCCGAGCCCATCTTCCATTGGATTTAGAGGTCACAGTGGAAGTCACTGTGATTCTCCTTGTTCTGTCTCACTGCTCTGGCCACTGAACGTAGAGACACAAAGAAATGCCCACATGGCATCTGCCCCCAACAACTGCACCCAGGGAGTCATGGAGTTGAAAGCCCTTTGTCTACCATCCAGTCAGATTTCAACAGACGATGAGCTCTCACTCATATCTGCAAAAGATGAGAATTTAAAAGATTTCATTCCATGCTAACGTTGTAAAAGCGGTACAACTTTTACCCTTCATTATGTTCAAATCTTTCCAACTTCATGTTCTAGTACAATTAACTCCACAAGGATAGTGAATCAATGCATACATTGAACCTGGTAGTCTGGCTTCTCTCTTGCTCTTGATAAGGGGAGTCAAGACTTCCTTGCTGACTTTCCCTTGGCTCACATTTCCAGTCTGCCTCCCAGGGATCTCGGGTGACGAGTTTTATTCTTGAAAGCACCACCTCCATTCAAAGGCCAGGTCTAATATTTGTGTTTCTCAATAGAAATCATCCATACTGACTAAATGTCTCACCAACACTTTCCAAAAAGTGTTTCATAGAGAACTAGCCATATAGAAACTCTTGAACAAGATTTTAAAAAGGAGATGGGGTTCCAAAGCAAATAAATTTAAGAAATGATACATCCTCTCTTCTCCCCTCTGATTCACGTGTCATGTGGAGTACTAATTCTCTGAAAAACAAAACAAAAAACAAAAACCTCCCTAGCTTGATTTCATGCAGTGTTTTCAAAATCCTCAATAAAATCTTTCCCAAGGCTAGCAGGCTGGGGAGCCAGGTTTTGATGTAGCTTCCAGGACATATGCTAAAGTCACTCTAGGCTGAGGAAAAGCAATTTCAAAACCATAGTCATGGAATTTGACATTATGGCACTTACCAGTAATCCCAGCATTCTGGGAGGCTGAGGCAGGAGGATCAAACACTTTAACTCAGTCCAGGCAAGTTAGCAACTTAGCAAGATGAGACCCTGTTTCCAATTAAAAAAGGAAGATTGGGAATTTAGGCCAGTGTGAAGGCACCAGTTTCCACCCCCAGTATGTCAAAAGCTAAACAAAAAACAAAATGGTCTATCATGCATTTACACTTAATATTACATTTTTTTGAAAATCGAGACTCCAGGCATTAGTCAGAAGCATTTCAGAGTATGCAATAGTTGGCCTTTATGGTTTCCTGGTCACAGGGCAAAATTTTGCTAAAATATTTTTAAATGCATTCTTTGACTAGATAACATGGGGTTTTAAAAATAAGAGGTATTGGTGGGCAAAACAAATAATAGTTCAGCTCATGAGAGATTTTACTGACTTTGTATCATGTCTAGGAAGGATCCGGCCGGGTTTCTCTGGAGGTTACGCTCCACTCCCCCACTCCCCAGGACTGCCTACCCACTCAGACTCTGTTTTCAGAGAGAAGCGAGGGCACCTGGACCAAAAGCAAAAGGGCAGGTGAAAGAAGCCCCCAAGGGAACACATCGGAGCAAGCCAGGGTTGAGGAACAGGACTTGGTGCCTCTGCTGCCCTCTACCTGTTTCCTAGTCTCAGGTACGTCGCCTGGGCTGGTAACCCAATGACTTAGTGCAACCAGTTAAAAGTATGGAGCAAGAAGCGGGGAAAAGCTCCACTTGGATTCTTAAGGCATTTCTAATGCTAAAAACTTAAAATACTTCACCAATATTTTACACAAACATAGAGTTAAAAAGATGGCCCCACCGTTTGTGTGCACTGTAAGGGCTCATCTTTGGTCAGTGAGGTCACAAAGCCCACACAAGGAGTTCACTAGCTGCAATCATAAAGAGAACCCCCAAAAGCTTACCCCACACACCACTGCAAGCCGGATAATGACATCCAGTCAGTGATGGGCCACCGTGGTCCCGTACGGTTCTTCTATGTGGCAGTGCAGTAGCCTGTGTTTTCACACGGGAACTGAAGCTCTCTGCTTGGCTGAGAACCCAACCTTACTCACATGTGACGTACCATTAGCCGTGTGTCTCCTTGAAATACAGCCTCCTTTCTCCGTTTCCCTGCTTTCACACTGTATCCCAAATGTCAAATGGTTGTGTATTTCTAAAAAAAAAAATTAGTATCCTTAAAGTATCATAAACGTCTCAGGGCATTTCCTATAACAGCAAAAACCACCACACAAAGCAGAGGAAATTCAATCTACTTCCTATTTTGTCTACAAATGTCAAACAATCCAAAACCTGGTTTGATTGATTTTATAAATTGTGCTGAATGAGTGGATTGGTGGTCTGCATGAAACAAACGCACCGCGTGCTCCTTCTCTTTCCCGCATCAAACTTGACTGTTAGTGAGATATCCACATTATGGAATAGTCCTCGCTCCAGAATACGCCACTCCATTGTACTAAGAAGCAGCTGCATGTTGCTCAGATAGGGGTTTTCGGTGAGGATGGGGGATCCTGACATGGCACTGTGGAGATGAAAAGGGTTGGGAAGATCTGTTGGGGACCTGGCCAAGATCCCCAGCTCCCTGTGTGAGGGGTACTTAAGGACAAAGTAAGAAACAGAGACAAGTCTAGTAGTGCATGATAAGGGGCTGGGAGGTCAGTGCCCGGGTGGGCGGAGATCCCGATACACCCTATTTACTGGGCGTGCACGGTGCACTGGGTGTGCACAGTGATCGCAGCAGAAGATTCGAGGTTGTTAGGAGACTCAGAGGTCAGTGGTCCTGCAGGCGGTGGATGACCCTGGGGTGACTCAAGAAGGCGGAGATGATCTTATGCCAAGAAGGATCCTGCTCTAGAATGTTCTTTTTCTTCTCAGTAGTCTCAGGTTAGTCTCAGAGGGTGGGAGAGGATGGCCCACCCCAAGAGCTAATGGGAAGCCTCAGAAGGGCGACCCCCTACCCCAAGCTCCATTTATCCCTTAGAGAAGGGTGCAGAATTAGCCCTTGTGAATCGTGGTCCCCAGTAAAGATCTGAGCTCTGCCTGAAGAATTCTTAACCAGAAATGACTCTTATTACAACTGGCCCCAGGGGGAAGGCTCACAAAGGGGGGCTCCCTGGAGATGAGGCATTTGAGGCGAGCCTGGAAACATTAAAAGGGTTTTACACATTGCAAGCAGAGGACAGTACAGGCAAAGTCACAGAGGCACCATCACGGGCAAGGCCTGACAGCCACGGATGGGCCCTCGGTGTGGAGAGGTGGGTTGGCTCCAGCTTGCTCGGTCTTGGTATATGGCTTGAGGTTGAGCTGCACTAGGCGTGCAGGGAAGATTTTGATTTCTCACAGCTCTCAGGAAGACAGAACAGGCGGCTAAAGACAAAGGTTCAAACCCCAGCAGATTATGTCACCCCTCTAAGCTCAAGCTGCTGCCTTCCCTGTGTATTTCCAAAAGCACTGACATCTATAGAGTACCTTAAATGTGTAAGGGCATTTCACATAACCATGAAAACTGTTGGGCGCAGGCGCTCAACATACCATACCCCACCCGGGACTGAGGACCACGCCAGCTTCCGCAATGCGCTACGTTCCTCTTTAAATTAGCCAACCCGTGTGCACCTTGTGCTCACTCCGTATTTGCCCCGTGCCGACTCTGTGGCAACCCCTGATTGGCCACAGCTGGATATAGTAGCCAGAGCCTGCGTCCCATTCCCGCCCTGCTTCCTCGTGGCAGCCTGTGATTGGTCACGGCCAAATATATAAACCAGAGCCCGCGTAAATAAAGCAGCAGTTAACTGTCGCCCACAAGAGCGTCTCCTGTCTCATTAGGGGGCTATGCCAGTCAGAAAACCACCATGTACAGCAGGAGAATCTGATCTACTGGCTGTTTGGTCTGCAAACGTCAAACAACCAAATACCTCGTTTGATAAATTAATAAAGTAAACAGTAATTCCTTCCTCTCAGAGCCGATGTGAAAGAATTAGTTCTTTACTTGTTCAAACACAAATATTTATCAAGTACCTACTCTTTGCCTGGCATTGCTCTTGGTGATACAGTTGTGACAAAAAGAGACAAACTCATAAGGAGGGGTTACATTCTAATGAGGGGGACAGAGAGAACACCAGGTAACTTATGCTTATAGATCATGATAACTCCTGCAAAGGAAAAACAAATCAGGAAAGCAGAGTTAAAGTAATAGTTGAGAGATTGGGCAAAGAAGAGTACACTGAGCTGACGACTTTCAACTGAAGACCAGAAGAATACTGGTATGTGGCCGTAGATATCAGTTGTCAAAACATCCCAGGCATCTGGAAGAGCAAGTGCAAAGGTCCTGAGGCAGGAGAGTGGCTGGCATGGTTACGGCAGAGGTGAGTTCATAAATGTGTCAGTAGGGTGAGGTGGGAAAGAAAATGCTCCTATGTAGAGCCTTTAAATTCATCATAAGGACTTTGCCTTTTACTTTGATGCATGAAGCTACTGGAAAGTTTCTGAAGGAGGTGATGTGCTTTTGTGTGCTTAATGGAATGCATTAGGCTGGGAAATAGTGTGCATCTTGACTGGCTGGGGAGTTGGCTTGGCCTCCCCAAATGTCGGCATTGTCCTTGCCATTTTCCTTGATGTTGGCATCAAACTTAACGCTTGGTCTGGGGAAGGCAAAAACCTCTGAAGCTGGGTAGGACCTCAGGATACCAGAGTCTTTTCAAATCCTTTTTCCGGTGCTGTTTCACCAGTAGGATTTCTGTGACTGTTACAAATGCGCTGTTCCCCTCAATACTGGCTTCTGAAAGGCTGGCTGTTGGGTTGCCTTCCTCGGCGACCTCATCCCTGGATTTGATGGGCAAGGTGACCACACCACAGGAGCAGGCTGGGCACAGCTGCAGTGTCCAGACCCAGCCGGAGTGCACAGGCGGGAAATGGCCAGGACAACACTTTCTGGGGTTGCTGGCAGCTCCTACAAGCTGCGCTGGGTTATTCCCAAGCCAGCTGATGACATTTGGTCACCACCAAGCTATTCTGCAGGGCTCAATGCCTTAACACCCCCTCCTTCTGAGGGCCAGGGTGCAGTGGCTTCTAGTGTGTGGGGAGCACATTTGTTCCCCCTTTGGGGAGCTGAGATGATGATACAATGAATCAATAATAGTAACAGTAACGTCAGAGCTTCACTTCCTTACACCATCAGTGCTTAAAGTTTTCTGGTTAGGTATCAAAATTATGCAGACAATGTGGAGCCTTTTACCCAAGAATCCCACATGTGAACAAAAATACAGTTACATGTGAAAAGGAAGAACTTACTGAGCTTCCTTGAGTTCTCAAGCACTTGAAACAAAGGGCTGGAATTTATATTTTTCAAGGTTTCTTCAAGGATTTACTCATCAGGGGCAGAGAACGCAGCAGCACAGTGCAGCGAAGGAGCCCTGGAGCGGAGCAGGGTACGGAAGGTCCCTGGGGCGGAGGGGCAGGGCGGGGCAGCTCGCGCAGGACCTGCAAGTGCAGGACCCTTAAAGGCCTCTGCCATCCTCCCACACGGGACCTGAGCTCACACTTTAGAAAAACCTGCATCTGCCTCTCCTCTCTCCACAATTCCAGTCACAGGGTCACATCCAAGAAGCCACATGACAGTAAATAAGAGCCTTTTTCCTATGCAACCCCCAGACCCCTGCAATGTGTCCTGCACTGCGTTACCGGTGTTGATGAACCCGAATAGGTGCCCCGAGGGCTCCACTGTTGATGACTGGGCGCGAGGTGGCTGAGGTTACATAACCGTCTTGACTGCGGGGCTTTTATTAGACTTTAAAAGAAACCAAGAGTGGGGCGCTGTGAGCACAAGAATGTTCCAAGGCTTATTCAAACTTGGAGTTCTTTCTCTGTGCTATTAATGCTCTGTAAACCCAGTGTCACAACAAGCAATGCAAGTATGGAAACTTCTAGATTAGCCAGGAGCCTGGATGTGGCCCTCTCCAGACCAGCCTTTGTGAGCAAGGCTTTGGAGGGTGCTTCTAATCTGTGTCCTCTGTTTGGCCTGGGTCTGAGAGGACTGACTGGCCACTGAAGCATCCAAGCTTAGACAAAACCGTGGAAGAACAAGCAACCCACAGCAAGGGAGAGCCATCGTGCTCCAAATCCAGAGCTGCTGGTACAAACAACACATGTGCCTGCTGCCACATATACATGTTTCTGCGACAAGACTGCTGTGCTAGCTGTCAGTCAAGAGAGGCTGGGGGAATTCTCAAGAGGGGTTTTTAAAAAGAATGCCCAGACCGATGTGCATCTGGAACTCAATCCCACATTCCATTCTCACTCTGAGGCAAATGGCCGCATAGTTAAGACAAATGCAGGGTTCACCTTGCGTTGTCAACAGTAAATATGTCAATCACATTCAGATAACGCCTGACAGCCTGTGATTCACATTTGCATCGATCCAAAATAGCTGCTTGCAGCTGCTCTGCCTAGGTGGCAGACACAGATCCGAAGAGAAAGGAGCTCATCTCAATGACACAGTCACCTCTTCCTCTTGTGTCATACGCAGGGAGGTGAGTTTGGCAACCCCAGCATTGGGACCTCAGGCATCACAGGAGCCCAGGGTAGGGCGTGCCTCCCCCACGTGAAGAGGCCAGATTCGAACAACATGAGATGGCCCAGCAGGCCTGGCCCCAGCTTTAAGCAAGCGAAACTGTGTAGACAGGTGAGGACCCGTAAACCTGTGACTACTGAGGCCAGCTATGAGTATCTGAGCTTACAGCTGGTGACAGGGGTCTCTGAAGTCAGATGCAGACCTGCAGAAGAAAGAACTTGTGAGTGCACCTGCAAATGTGAGGACTCCAGGGGGCTGGCTGGCCCTGCTTGGATGTGAATCATTCTGCACCGCTCATGCATGACCTTTGTCCTCTGGGGATGACGTCACTGAGCTTCTCTGCATTTCAGTCACCTGACCTGAAAGAAATGATGGTGCCCATGACGGCTTAGGTCTAAAAGGTCCTGCAAAGCCTCCTGCACTCCCAGGTGGAACTTGCGGGAGGTGACCAGATTGTGGGGGCAATATAGTTGACTTGCTGTCGGGAGGTGGGGCCTGGTCAGCAAAGCCGGCCACCGGAGCATGATTTCAAAGGGCTCAGCTACCTGCCAAGCTTCTCTCTTCTCTGCTTTTTGCTTTCTATCTGCCTTGAGAGC